GTAGATATATAAGAAATTCTAACGTAAAACTGAAAGTAAAACTGAACACTTTTTGATAAAATTGCTACAGCGAAAAATCCAGCTGTCACTTTTACACCCGAGAACAAGAGCTTTAAGAAAACTATTAATTCAATCAACAATACGAAATAAAATTAAATTTTGGGACGAAATTGGTTTGCCTGGACCACTTTTGGAACATATTTACAATAATTTGTTTTGTATTCCTCCAACAAGTGTAAAAGTAGAGAGAGCTTTTTGCGCCAATGGAACATTTTAAACAAAAATCAGGTCTAGAATTAATGATAAAAAGCTCTTTTAAAAATCAGAATTAAAAAAAAAAAAAAATTTATATATTATTTTATTTTTCCCTTTAGTTGCATTAACTTCATGGAATTTTAGAAAAGATTGCGCAAGAACCACCATGAAAGAAAGTCCGATTGGTTCTGAATTGATCCATTACGTTAGTCTCATTGTTTGAATGAAACTAAGATTAAATAAGAAAAGTTTTTTTGTTTCAGGTATACTTAGTTTTGTTAGGTTTTTATATGATAAACTGTTATTTAATTGTTCTAAAAGTATAACGGTGTTTTTTTTTTAACGGAATACAACATCAAAGTAGAAAATGCACAAAATTTAAGGAAAAAATCTTGAAGAGTACTAAAAACAGAGAAACGGCGAAATTAATCTTGATGAAGGTCAATATGTCAGAACTATGTTTTGGACGCCATTTTTTAAATTTAAAAACAAAAGTTATTCAACCACTGACGTCACTTTGTATAAACTAAACGGTTAAAAAAATATTGTAATATTTTACAAGCTGATGATGCTGGTATCCATAACCCAGCGAAAATATCTTATGTAGGGTAGAGCAGGGCATATACGAACACTTAAGAAAAAAAATGCTTGTTAATGATAACCTAATCATAGTTAAAACTGTTTTTTCTAAATTTCCTAAAATTCATTGATATAAGAAAATAGAAAAACAAAAATTTCTATAAATAAGTTACGACAACCAAAGTAAAGAAATTTTAGACTAGCAACCCTTTAACATTATGTAAGCGGGTGGGGCAAAACGGGACAGTTAAAAAGCAGCAGCTACTCGTCATTTGTAAACCTTTAAAAAAGATGAAAAATGAAGACTATCTATCGTCTAAATATGTTCAGACATTAAACTCTCAAAAAAGTAACATAACCATAGAAACTACACGCCATTACACCCATACATCACAAAAAAGAAATAATAGCTAAAACAATACTACTACCGAAATAGTGTAAATAGTATAAACTTAAATATGCCATATTTGTCAGCAACTTTTCTATTTTTACGTTTCTTTTTACTCACATTTAAAACTGCATTTCATCCCATTTTGGGTGATTGATCTATCTTATATCATTTCTTATCTTCATTGTTGACATTAATCACTATTAATAATTGAAGTTAAGTTATAAAAATAAAAATTTCTTTGAATTTGATACTAAAATTGCTTTTCTAAATAAGAAAATAATATTTTGGATTAAAAATAAAATCAACAAACTGTAAACATCATCCCGAAATAGTTGTAATATATTCAATTAAATAAACAACTTGTTGCCCCGATATGCCCCACAAAAGTCATTTTACTGAAATTAATACTGTTCAAAAAGTTAAATTAAAAATATATTTTTTTAAAACCAGATTCTGAAAAAGGATAAAAAACACTGTTTGAAAGATATAAACTTTTTATTAATATAGCAAATTTGCAAAAGTTCAAGATAAATCTTTTGTCATTGTATCGCTTAAAATGCGCCTTGGTGCGGTGGTTAGAGCGCTTACTTAATAAGCAGAAGATCCAGGTTTGAAACGAGCTATGGACATGTTTTGGCGTCACGATAAGGGAGGAGGCGTGAACTTCCTGGGTAAATGCACTTCCGCGGTGCTCTGTGACAAGACCGTTAGGTCTTCTTGGGGCACCTAAATAACAAAAAAAAAAAAAAAAAAAAAAAGAGCAAATTTTGTTGTTCGCAAACTTACTGATGCATTTTGATACTTTAAATGCATTTTGGTATTTCTAAAGTTAATTTTTTTTATAATAATAAAGCGCAATAATTTAAAATGTTTTAATAAAAAATTTTTTTGAAAAAATAATTTTTGGCTGAGATATAAAGCTTCAGGCATAACTGTGTATATATATATATATATATATATATATATATATATATATATATATATATATATATATATATATATATATATATATATATATATATATATATATATATATATATATATATATATATATATATATATATATATATGTATGTATGTGTGTGTGTGTGTGTGTGTGTATATATATATATATACACACACACACGCATATATACATATATAAACTAACTTCCAGACATGTAACAAACTCCATACAATTACATGTTTGCACTTATGTCAAATAAGGATGCTTTGTAAAAAATTGCGATGATTGGAGACTAGTAACAAAAAAGCCCCAGAATTTTTGCTCCCTTTCCCCCCCCCCCCCCACCACATATATACAAATATTTTTTTAATGTTCCTAACTAGACATCGATAAATTTTAAGTTTCATAGTATCATACTTTCCCGGTGGGAAATGAGCTAGCGACTAGCGAGCGATTAGCTAGCTTTATAGCGATTTTCTAGCAATTTTTTTTTTCCTATTTTGTTATTTGCTAATGTCTTTAACATCTTTAAAAATTTGATTTTTAGTGTTGAGTCTATTATAATTATGAGGATAATTGAACTTTAAACATTGGGGTTTTGTAGCAATGTGTCGCTAGCTACATATCGTAGCTTTGTAGTTAGCTACAAAATAGCTACAAACCTATAGACGGTTGATAGCTACATATCAAATTTTTTTTGGACAACGACTTCATTACAATATGACGCTAGCTACAATAGCCAGTGGGTCTTTAGCTTATTAAGCTGGCTATCCTCTTAACCAAATGTCTGTCTTTATCTTTACAAATATCGATAGCTTTTCGCTAACTTAAAAAAGCTAGCGATCCTCGTGGCTAAATCGTGTTTTTTTCGTTACGATTATAGCTAGCTATTCGCTAGCCGATTTCCCACTGGGTTATTTCTTACATCATTGATTGCGTCGTTTTATTTGTTGTTTTCAAGCATTGGCTTTTTTGTTACGACCATCACGGTTATGATCATCACGACAAAAAAAAACAAACATAAAAAATGCTTGTAAAACCTCAAGTAAAAGCTATGAAACTCAGTATACAATAACACCAATATGTGCTAAATAAGCACACAAAATAATTTTTTTTTACTATGATGTTCCCTGCGTTACTATGTTTTTTTTACTATGATGTTCCCTGCGTTAAGTCTGTCAAAGTTGTTTTGTTCAGAAGTGGTAAAATATAAACGTTACGACCGTCAAGCTACGTAGAGTTACTTTTTTTAAAAAGTTGATGACTTTAACACTGTAACTTTTACTCTTAATTATATGAATGAATTTCACATTTCTGGAAAGCTTCAAATCATTTTTATTTTCGGTTCATTTTTAATAGCTTTAAGAGTGTCAAATGTTGAACCGCCACTCTCACGGAATATATATATATATATATATAAATATATATATATATATATATATATATATATATATATATATATATATATATATAATATATATATATATATATATATATATATATATATATATATATATATATATATATATATATATATATATATATATATATATATATATGTATAGACATTATATAAATATATATATACATATATATATACATATATATATATATATATATATATATATATATATATATATATATATATATATATATATATATATATCTATATATATATATATGTATATATATATATATATATATATATATATATATATATATATATATATATATATTATATATATATATATATATATATATATATATATATATATATATATATATATATATATATATATATATATATATATATATGAAAAGTAATAAATAAGAAAAGGGGATTTTAGAATTTCAAAAATTTGGGGCATAGGGGAAAGCGGGGCTACATGGCAAACGTTTTGAAAGCCCTGAGTTATTGCAAAACTATCAGTCGTGAAGCAATAATACTTTCTGAGTATGTTTATCTTATTAAAATGATTTATTGCCTGCATAAATTTTCCGTTTGCAAATATAACAATTTGAAATAAATATTAAAATAAAAAGTTAATAAATTTGTCATCTGGTCACGTGACCGGGGCAAGACAACTTATTATTCAATTTTTACCTCCAATTTTATTAAATTTTAAAAACTACCAATAACTCTAACTAAAGTAACGAAAAATAAACACAAATCACCAAAAACTACTTCTAAAGAAGTTAAACTTGAAGGACACCATACGTTTCAGAAAGCGAAAGTGAGGAATTTTTTTTTAGGCGCAAAAAGTAAACTTAAGCGTATAAAATTGCGTTAATAATATTTCAAAAAACCAATTGGTATTTTAAAATACAAAATGCAAATACAGTTTCACTTTCACCCATTTTTAAGATTTTTTTGTTGAGATGTTATATGAAAACCCATCTTGCCCCATTCGCCATGTTGCCCCGCTTTATCCTACAAAATACAATTTTTTGATCTTGAGTAAAAAGTGAAACTTTTTTTTGTGAAATGAAGAAATAGCAGAGTTATTCATAAATAACATCGAAAAATCAAAACCTGAAAATTATTATAAACGCTAAAAATAATTTGAGACAAACATGAGCAATTCTGTCATATTTTCATTTTTTTATTTTTGCGTCACCCCTCTGAGTCAGGTTATATAAATATATATATATATATATATATATATATATATATATATATATATATATATATATATATATATATATATATATGTATATATATATATATATATATATATATATATATATATATATATATATATATTCTTATATTTTTTTACGACTCTTTAAACTATTTATAGCTTTACAAACCAGTAAGCAACTTTTTACCTGCTCTCAAGGCTATTTCTCCAATGTAAACGTCATCTATTTTAAACGCTCTTTTCAAGTCAAAGTAGGGAATAATTTCTGAGACACTATTATTCGTCATTATGAAGCCACTACCAGAACAGTATGGATCATATTTGTCTAATAAATGTTCCCTTCTAGTTACTGCATAAGCTCCTGTTCTATGAACTAAACTGTCAACATTGACGTTACCATAGTAGGCATCGAAAGATTTATTTATATTTTCTAGAAAGTGTATCGCATTGTCGATGTGAACAAATGTATCATCGTGCGCCTTTAAAACATATTCAAAGTTTATATTGTGTGAAACCCAAGTTAAACCAATAATTGTTTTATTTGTTGAATGGTAAATATTTTCTACAATATCTACGATTAAAATATCTTTGTATCTTTTTGCTTCTTTAGTTAATTTTTTCATCAACTTATCGTCTTGCTCTTGTCCAGTAACAAATACTAATCGCCACTTTTTACTTTTCCACACTGATTTATTTCCCCACAATTTCCTGATCCATTTTCTGCGCACACTGTTTCTTGATTGTGACGTAACCATAACGAGCAGCCTATAAGTCGTTCTATATTTTAGAACACTGTCTAATTTTATTAAATTCAATGTAAGAACTTTTCTTAATATATCTATATCTGTATTTAAAGTTAGATTTTCGAAAGTTTTAATTTTCAACTTTTCGTTTTTGTTTTTTATTAATCCTTTGTTTCGATTGCTTGTTTTAATTTGATTTTGATTTCTGAATTTATTTAAAACAACCTTCCATTCGTTGGCTGTTTTTTTAATTTCTAAAATTGCAAAATCGACATACTCGTTGTTCTTCATAACCAAAGTAGTAAACGTAGTTGTTATTATTAATATTGCTATTATCAACAAGATTTGTGCGAACGACAGACGCATTTTATCATAAAAATTAAAAAAAACTCATCAAATGTTATAAAAATTTATGAATTATTATGACTTATTATAACGATTATGAAAAGAAAAAGAGAAAAAAAACGACTTAAAAAAAGGATTTGTAGAATTAACTCTTTTATTACTTAAAATATTGAATGAAATAATTTATTTGGTTTCATAATATTTTAATTACATAAATGCTTTTCTTTTTAATTTACACACACAAAATAACTTCGACCCACGAAGCGTATAAATGTTACACGTAAAAAAATTAATAATAGATTGCTGATGACACAAATGATAAAAGCCTTATTGTTATCACTAATATTATTAGCATCGCAATTATTCCTATTGTTTGTAAACAACAAAAAACTAACAAAGTTATAAAGTAAACTAATACAGTCTTAATAATATTTTATCTTATTTATTATTTTATAAATGCATTATTTTTTCATATCTTTTCACTGCAATTAACATCGTTGTTAGTCTTTACAAAAAACATTATGTATCCTAGTCATGGCGCTCTTTACATTTACAGGCTGTGTACATTTTTTTTAAATATTACGTTACAGGCTGTGACACGCAAAATTTAGAAAAAAATCATAATTAATGAAAAAATTATTTAAAAAAATATTAACTTCTTTTAATTGAACGCAGAAGATCTAAAAAAACTTGCTTAATTCGTTTATGGTTTTACTTGGACTGTTAAAATAATGGTGAAAAAAAGCTGTGTTTATGGCTATTCTACAAATTACTTATCATAGAAAAAATTCGAACGATTCTAAAACGTCAGTTTGTAGATTTTTAAGATGAAGATGAGAAAGCACGTTGGATAAAATGTGTTTTTAATGCAAATTTTAAAATGACAAGCAACACTGTAGTCTGTGAAATGCCCTGGCCTAAAAACTTTGTTTAAGTTTTAACTTTGAAAAAGTTAAAGTAAATAGAAAAGAACGACCAAGAAACCCACCATCAATTTGGCCCAATGAATATCCTCTAGATATTTTTGACTTACATACATAATGTGTCTGTTATTAACATACATAATCTTATTACAATTCATTTTACTGTAAAACCAGTAAGAGAGTCTAATAGTGAAGTAAAGGCAATCATATATGAGAAAAATTGAATTAATTAAGTATTTTTGTAAATATTTGAAACACATGGAAGTTTTTTGTTGTAACACTTCATCGAAAACTTATTTTTTATGAAAGTGGTGTTAAAAAAACAGTTTGTTGAAACCATTTAACAAAAATTTATGGAGCTGAATCTAATTGTTTATTAAAACTTATAGATTTGAATAAAGTTTTTGTTTGACCGAGTTTTTCTACTTGTTTTCTGACATATAATGCTCTACTTAATCAACCTGAAACCTCTAATATCTTCAACATAAGACTGCTGCTTTTATTTAAAGCTCGTTGTCACGTGGTAAAAAACACGTGGGTTGTAGATTTAATGATGATTGGCTATCATCAGAGATCAAAATGATGGGCAATTAAAGTTTATTTGGGATTTTGGAAATACGACATTACGTATAACAAGTAATGAGGGTAAAACGCATAAAACAAGTAACACATGATACAGGACATTTCAGGAATCATAAACGTATAGGAATTGTTGAGCTGACAAAAACACTATTTAGAAAAACACAAAAATATGTTATATTGGTACAGACCCTTTTAAAAATGAATTCAGCAAATTAAGACAAGGATTTGGCGGCATATATTCTTTAAGTGTTCAACAAATAGTTAAAAAGTTCAATTTTCTAAAACTTCACTTTTATTGTCATATAACATTGATAAATCAACTCCTGATGCAGGATATTCTTGTCAATTTTGTGGATTTTTACTTGATGAGTCTTGCTGAAAAGCTGAGGTCTTTGACAATAAACCAACACTACAAAATAGTATAACCGTCGGATAATTGATGTCTCTTTTTAATATTGCCGGATAAGTGTCTTAAAATGATGATTTGCTTATTGAAAATAAACTTTAGACCAAAACAATGCTTTATTTAAAAAAGCTTGGGTTAATAATTTCTTTTGATAATACTGCTCAAGAGGTTTTGTGTTACTTGTACTCCTAACTCTATTAAAGTCCAACATTTTTATCAAAAACCATTACAAACTTTCTACACCAAAATCAAACAAAGAAACATCTCTGGACATATTAAAATTGTCTTATTAAGTTATTCATTGACATTTTTGTTATTATTTTTGGTTGAAATTAAAGTTTCTGTTTTAATAAAATGTAGTATTTTATTTAACCTTATTTTTATCTAATTATTCTTTTGAATTAAAACAATAAAATCAAATTTAATTTAAAAAATTAAAAAGGTTTATAACTTGCCTTTATAAATTTGAATAATTTTTTTCATTTTCTAATGCATTTTATAAATGGAGACTTTAAATAAAACATATTGTATTTCAAAACAAATATTATTAATTATATTGATTTTTTAAATATCGGCCCGCACATTTTAGTTCTAAATTTTGCTTGTCCTGCAGGGCCGTCCTGAACGGGGGTGTAGGGAGTGTACCACCCACCCACCTACCCCCTCCCAAAAGCTGTCATATAAACATTTGAGCTAGCACATTAAGCAAGTTTTAAAGAATAGTTGGCAAATTGCAAATATTGAGGACTTTTTTTTTTTTTTTCTTTTTCACTAGTTGGCAAAAAATACATACAAAGAGTCCAATTTTAGTTTTTATACAATTTTAATGTGGATTTTCCTATTTTCCTATGGAAGTTTATCGGTTTTTTTATTAAAATTCCAAATAAACTGGCGTTGATAAGAATCTCTGACATTTTGTCCGGATTTTTTTTGATCTTTGATTGTTGGTGTGAAAATGATGAATAAAACTTTCGTGGTGTAGATGACCAACAAATGATGAAAGATGTATTGTTGAAGTAGATTTAAAATGTGTGTTTGATTTTATCTAAATTTCCAACAATTGTTTTGACAAATGGAGCATCACAATGTCACTTTCTAATGACTTCATTAGAAAGTGACATTGTTACTTAATGAGGTCTATCAAATTAAAAATTTTATCCCGACTATTGTCGCACCAAAATGTTTTTCTGAGCAGCTAAGTTTTTATCAATATGTCTTGAAATGTTAAAAAATTTTATTTTCAACAAAAAATTTTTCCCGACTTGTTTTAGCCACGCCACAATTATTTTTATCATCAAATCTAATTGCAGCAGATTTTTTGCGGCTTACTGAAACAAGTCACGGTGAATTGACAGACCTCGGGGCTTGGAGTTTCTGTTATGTTGAAAATACTTGCGATGATATAGAAACTATTATTGCTATATTTTAACCCAAATGGGTATTGAAGTGGATCTACTATTAAGAAGCTGAACTCAGTTGCAAGTGTTTCTGAATAGATTGCACTATGAGTCGAAATGGCAAAAATGTGGCCAAAAGTCGATTTTCAAAAGTATTTCACAATAATTATTATTTTGTTAATTTAGGACATATATTTATGTATTAACAGAAAAATATCTTTTTGCATAATTTTTATTATGCAAAAGATATTTTCCTGTTAATACATAAATATAATTATATACAAAAATCTTTAGGTATATTTTGTATATATACATAAAGATTTTTGTATATATACAAAAATTTTATCATGATTATAATATCTTGTGACTAACAAAAATTAAAAAAAAAATTGCGTTAACTGACGTAGGAACAGGGAGAGCGGGGGTGCTGCCTCAACCCTTAATTTCCGTCCCCCCCCAAACTTTTTGGACCTTTCTATGCCACTATATATATATATATATATATATATATATATATATATATATATATATATATATATATATATATATATATATATATATATATATATATATATATATATATATATATTCTATCTATGTGTGCGGCAGATTATTGACGCATTATTATTAGTCCGTCGTCCTGGTAAAGGCCCATATCGCTGCTGGTAACAGTTTCAGATAATGAATATAATATATACAATCCAACCAGCTCGCAAACCTAGGCTCCATCGTAACTACCCATTGTGACGTCGAAGCAGTCGTTAGTTGACTTTTTTTTCCAAGTTTCGTTGTTGAAAAATAACAAAGACTTTCTGCAATGGATAATTGTTCTGATTTCTTCTTCGCTAATTTTTATAAGTTGTTTTGCAAACGTTAGAGCATTTTTTAGAATTGCGGGTGTGATGGATGGGTGTGGGTGTGATGGATGGGTGTGGGTGTGACGGATGGGTAAAATTCAGTGATGTCGAGTTGGATAAAAGTGCAGTGTTTCCTTTCTTTTATGCTTTTGAACCATTTGATGACTTAAGCGGTATTTTTCTACTGGTTTGATTTTAATGTACTTTTTATGTGTTTATTAATCTTATCTAAATAGGTTTTGCTTACAATGCCAAGTTCGCTCACCCCCCACAAATTATTAAACAAATTCCGATTGCTATCAACGATAGGTTATCCCAGAATTTTTCTAACGATAAAATATTTAACTCGGCAAGGGAAGAGTATGACGAAGCTCTAAAAAGAAATGGATTCAAAGATTTTAGCTTCAAATACAACCCTTAAATTGATACCAAAGTAACCCCCAATCGTAAAAGATAAAAGAAATATAGTCTGGTTTAACCCACCATACAATAAAAACGTTCTCACAAATATAGGCAAAACCTTCTTACAATTAATCGACAAACATTTTCCAAAACCAAATCCGCTTCATAAACTATTTAACCGTAACACAACAAAAGTCAGCTACAGCTGTACAAGCAACATAGCAAAAATTATAAAGAACCACAACAATAAAATTATTTCGATGAACCTAACGGCCACTTTAGCTTGCAATTGTAAACTTAGCAAAAACTGCCCTATGAATGTAATTTATAAGTGAACTGCATCATTCCCAAACACATCCGACAAAACATACATTGGTTCAACAGAGGGCATGTGGAGAACTAGATGGGCGAATCACAAGCAATCCTTCAAAAATAAAAAACTCACAAATGCAACCACGTTTTCTAAATATATATGGGATACACAAAATAAAACAAAAGCAACACCCAATTTAAAATGGTCCATCATAAAATATGCCCCC